CAATCCACAGAGTCTCAGAGAAGGAAGCTCTAGGCCTGGTGCGGGAGGCTGAAGAAAAGGGGCAACGTGCTGAGATCATCCCAGGGATGGGTGTGTTCACCAGAAAGGCTGGAGGAGGCAGAAGGCGGGCTCGCATCGTATGCTGCGGGAACTATATGGAATCCAGGTCGGGGGAGGAGGTTTATGCTACGGGGGCAGACACTACACAGCTTCGTGCTATGCTCCGAGTCGCATCCCTTCACGACTGGCATTGTCTTTCGCTGGATGTGAAGTCGGCCTTTCTTCTAGCACCCAAGGCACAAGGTGATCTGGTCATTGTCAAACCTCCCAAAATCCTTGTGGATGCCGAGCTGGCAAAGTCAGACGAACACTGGGTCATCACTTCCGCCATGTACGGACTTGTTACGTCTCCGAAGGATTGGAGCGTCTACAGAGATGCCGAGCTGCAAAAGATGGAGGGGGTGATCACCATGAACGACCAGGAGGAAGACTCCAATGACAAGAGGTTCGGGTTCAGACCGTTGAAGGATGCGAACCTGTGGGCCATACAAGAGGTTACATCGACACCTGCCTCATCGACAAGGGAGTGGGGTGAAGTTCTGGGCTATATGATTGTCTATGTCGATGATATCCTTATGGTGGGCCCAAGGCCAGTGACAGATGTGGCCTCGAAGACCATCCACAGTCTGTATGGTCAACCTCAAATCCAGAGTATGCAGAAGTTGGCGGAGCTCCCATGCGTTTTCTGGGAATCGAGATTCAAAGACTGGCTTCAGGAAGCTACTATTTGCACCAGGGAAGCTATGTCAGGGAGGTGTTGGATCGTCATGATGGAGGAACGTCTGCATCTTTCATCAAGGTTCCGGAGGGGCAGGAGGAGGAAGCACCGTCGCTGCATCGTGTGAGAGAGGCACAAAAGGTCACGGGTGAGTTGTTGTGGCTTTCTGGGAAAACAAGACCAGACATTGCTTGGGCGGTCATGAAGATGTCCCAATGGGCTGTGAAGGCGCCTTCATGGACGGTGAAGTTGGGGGAGGCGGTCCTGGCGTATGTCCGAGCCACAATGGATTTTGGTTTGTGTTATCCAGTGGGAGTTCCTGTGGACGATGACCCTGATTTGGCAAGGAAGACTCCGAGGAAGCCTGGCACATTGGAGGTGTTGGTCGATGCTTCGTTTTCTCCGGGGGACAGCCATAGCATCTCGGGGACCATCATCTTGCTGGCTGGATGTCCGGTGCAGTGGGAGAGTAGGAAGCAAAGCCTCATGGCCTTGTCCACGGCCGAAGCCGAGTTGACGTCGCTGGTTGAAGGTCTGCACTCGGGACGCTCAGTCAGGGCCTTGGTGGAACTGCTCATGGGCAAGGTGGAACTGGAGCTGTACAACGACAACAGAGCAGCTGTGGTCCTTGCTTCGGGTTCAGGGGGTGGCTGGCGGACCAGGCATCTTCGTATCAGAGCCAGTTGCTTGACGGAGGCATTGCGTGAGAGAGAGGTGACTTTGACTCATAGGGTGGGGACAGCTTAGGCGGCCGATGCGCTGACGAAGTCGCTACCAGCTCAATCTCTTGAACGTTTTTGTCAAGGGGTTCACCTACGTCAGGGTGATGAGAAGATGGTGAGCGAAGTGCTGACAGTCCAATGTGAGCAAAAGGTGAGAGTCTCCAGATGCATGGCAATGTTGATGGCTGGAGCATCCCTTCTTCCTCATGGCGCTGCAAGTGAAGTGTGCGAGAAAGGTGAACTAACCTCACAAGGAGGATCTTCTATGTTTGGAGATGTGGGGTGGCTTGTTCTCCTGGCGGGGCTGGTTTGCATTCTCCATATGGTGAAGGACCTGGGATTGGAGGTGTTGAAAAGGCTCATTGTGGGGAAAGAGAGTTTGAAGGTGAAGCTCCTAGATGATGAGGCCACACTTCCACAGAAAGGATCACCTGGGGCTGCCGGTTGGGACATTTCCACAGCAGTCAAATGCCAATTAGCTCCTGGTGAACGCAAGCTAATTTCTACGGGATTGGCCTTTGAGATCCCTCGTGGCCTATATGGGAGGCTGGCGGCTCGTAGTTCGTTGGCTTCCAGAGGGCTGGATGTGGCGGGGGGGAGTGATCGATGCCGACTACCGTGGGGAGGTGAAGGTCATCTTGGTCAACCACGGGGAGCAGACAGCGTCCTTTGAGGTGGGAGATCGAATCGCTCAAATCATCTTTGAAAAGGTCTCGGAGGCACCTATGCGGGAAGTGAAGGAGTTGTCGAGAACAATTCGTGGAGGGGGTGCTTTTGGAAGTTCTGGGGTTGGAGTCCGAAGTTTGAGAGTAGAGAAGGATCCAGATCGTGTTCGTCAGACACAAGAAGGGGAGCTACAACCTCGGGATCCTCGAGTACCAGAAGGGGGGGCTACAACTTCGGGATCCTCAAGTACCAGAAGGGGGGCTCCATTCTAGAGTTCCTCAAGTACATGATCGGGAACTACAACCTCGGGGTTCTCAAGCTCGGGAAGGTGGGCCATCAGATCGAGATCTCCGAGTACCAGAAGGAGCAGAGAGGACCGAAGCCTTTGACATACCGCTGCCTACTCGCCTGGACTTTGAGGTGATGACATCACGGGGCGGAGAGTCGATGGCAGAATTTCTTAACCGTGTCAGAGGGCAGGAGTTGCAGAGCGTTTTTCAACGACACGGTGGTGAAGATCCTGAGTGTCAAGCCGTCCAATGGGATGATGCATGAGTGTGTGGTGCGATTCCCAGATGGGGTTGTAGTGATGAAGATTCATCGTCATGGTGGATGGAGGAAGAAGCTGTTTGATAGCGAGCTTTCTCTCCCGGTGACATCCACCGGACTTTCATCAAGAGTGATCACCGTGGCATGGCTTGATGATGGTCGTATGCTGCTGCGCTCGGATGACCGACGTGGGAGCCATGGAATGCACTACTTGAAGCAGCGATGGTTCGGCTTCAGCATCCTTGCCCGAGCCACAGAGCCGCTAGCATCTTCGACCGGGAGTGCGGGCTCCTGCTGAGAGAGAGGGTGCAGTGTTTCCAAGTTCGTTTTTGAAGACATGGCTCTCAGTGCATGTGTTTGCGGCGGTTGAATGGGGGAATTTACCCTAGCTGGCAGAGAGGAGATTCTTGGGGAATGCCTTTTTTTGCTTGCTGGGCCTCGCCTCCTTAGCCTCCTGCGGCTTAGAGCTTGTGCGCTGAGTGAGAGTGGTTTAGAAAGGGCTTGAGCTTGGAAGAAATGAAAAATTTTTCTGTGATTTGAGTGTGCGAAGAGGGCACATAGCGTTTTTGTCGGGATTCAGAAGTTCCGGCTACGCCTGGAAGGGGAGAGCAGAATCCCTAATTCCATGAGTTGAAATGTGTGAATGAATGATTGTGAAGGTTGTTGAGGATTGGGCATGAACAATGAAGCCCTTTCGTGTCAAGCGAAGAAAAGGGAAACGCGATTTCAGTTTCTGGTGATTATATACTGTATACTACTCGGAAGGATCTTGTGGGCCAGCCAAACGGACTCGGTAAAACTTGGATGTGAAAATCCAACCGCGACACATCGTACATCGACCGCTTCAGCAACACGATCAAAAGAACGTCAGAGACTTGCTGCGGGGGGCGGTTTTTGTACTACCAAGACCATCCAGAACCTAGAAAAATGATACTTTGTACATTGAAATTACAATCACTTTCCTCTATGAAATGGGTTTTGGACACCCATTTTATGTAGATCATGTGGTTTTAGTTTTCCAAAATATTTTTGAACATCACAGGGATAATTTTATGGAGGACTGCTTGTGCAAGTATGTACTTCAGATGAGATGATGTGCAAGGATGCAGGAAAGGCATTCTATAGAGCGAGCGGGGAGGGGGTCATATTGTTGTGTGTTGTTAAGATCAGGATGTCTAGGGGATCATTCTATAGGACTTCAATGCTTGATTGATAAGAATCCAGGCATGTCATTTTATAGAGCCTCAAGACGGTCGATCGCTTTTGGCGTCCATTCGCATCGCTCTGGTACAAGGGGTACAGGTCCGATGACATGCTTCACATTAAAGTTATACATGATCAAAGTTAAGGACATTGAACTTTTCACCAACTCAAAAAAAAGTAACAGTCGAAAATAAAACAATACGTTCATGGCTTTTGATATGCAGATCCAAGTCACCTCATCTTATAGAGATAGTTTTTTTCTGATTGTGATACTGTTTATTCTTTTGTTTGGATTGCTAGTAGCCACTTTATATAAATACTAGGCTTGTCATTTTATAGACAATTTATCCCAGGCAACTCATTCTATAGACACCATTTTTCTATAAAATGTGATGTACAAGGTTACAAGTACAGAGGATGAAAAATGTAGGGTAGTTATTGAAAATTCTTGTGTTTGCAACTAAAAACGCATTTCTCACAAACCGTCCAACAAAAAACGTGTCTTTGTGTGCGGGTAAATGACGGTTTTTGCACGGGATAAATACGGTTCGTTTTCACGATAAAGTTAGTTTTCCACAAAATACAGTGGTTTTAGAGTAGATGGCACAAACCTGAAGATGTCTTTTAGATGAGGATCCATACAAAACACCTTTTTGGGATTTGGCCATGTACTCTGAAACCACTTTAAACGTGTTTTTGGCATTTTGTATGCCAAAACACGTTTTTTGAAAAAGGTGTTTTTCTTTGCAGGGTTTGGTTGCTTCGCAGAGGCTTATATTACTGTATAATTTAGTATTCACACAAAATTTATTCCGGGGTAGTGCGGCGAAGAAAATACATAGTTAAAGTATAAAAATCCACCGAGAAAGCCAACCAGTAAAAATGCCAGAGAATCGCGACAGTTTCAGTTGGGGTGTTTTGTGAGCTCCTTTTGTTTGGAAGTTGTATGAACTTTAACAGACTCAGAGTTTTAAGGGGACCATATATTCTAAGGTGCCCCTTCCAGGGTATTTTTAAGGATCTTCAGTTTCGGTTCCAGGGCAAACCCGTGGGTGGAACCTTCAGACCGCGGGGTGGTTGAGGCCTATGAGGCTCAACTGCGTGACGTGGAGGCTTCGAAGGATGGACATCCAACGTTGCCGGAGAGGTCGTGGCCTTTCCTTTTTGGCTCGTTGTCCTGTTCGTCGTGCCTTTTCACCGGCTCGGTTGATTTAGTTTGTGTGTTTCAAAAAGAAAGTCTGACTTTAAACATATTGTTCTGTTTCTGTGAGATCAGCGAGGTGGGATCACTTTCAGGTCTACCGTAGTAGGGGAATGGAATAGTGACAATCTCGATCTTCTTGACAACTGAGGAAGTCAGCTGAAAGTTTACAGTGTGCAAATATGCAACGACAATGAATCAACATGGGGGTGGAAATTTGTTCGACATACTATACAGGGTATTGCAAGCTACCCGAGACTGTTTAGGCGAACTTAAGTGGCTGCCTATGGGAGAATTCAATTGGCCAAAAAAACGAGCACATGATGGGACTTTTCAGAAAACCATCCCAAGAGGACGCGCAAACTTGATGTTTTCTGCCGCGCAGGACTGCAAATTGAAGGAATCGAAGGAATCGCGAGAAAGCAAAGCCTGCAGGATGAAGAAAAAGCATTTGAAGAAGGCCTCGACCCGTCTGAGAATTGCAAAGAAAAATAAGTGAAGCCATCTTATCGCACAGCATTTGTACATATATAATATCAATATATATATATATTATACTCAGTATATATTTGTACCCTATGTTCATCGAATCAAGAATCTGAAGTTGTTTAGTCCAGCAAAAAGCATGGCCTCCAGATGATTCCAGATGTCTTAGGGAACTGTTTTGATTGGACTACTAGGAGTAAGGACGCTACGAACGGAGCAAAGGGCATCGCTACTAGGAGCAGGGACGCTACTAGGGGCTCCTGGCCTTACTACCAGGAACAAGAAGCTACTAGGGGCTCCTGGCATCGCCACTAGGAGCAAGGACGCTACTAGGGGCTCCTGGCCTTACTAACTACTAGGAACAAGAAGCTACTAGGGGCTCCTTGCATCGCTACTAGGAGCAAGGATGCTACTAGGGGCTCCTGGCCTTACTACTAGGAACAAGAAGCTACTAGGGGTGGCATCGCTACTAGGAGCAAGGATGCTGCTAGGGGCTCCTGGCCTTACTACTAGGAACAAGAAGCTACTAGGGGCTCCTGGCATCGCTACTAGGAGCAAGGATGCTGCTAGGGGCTCCTGGCCTTACTACTAGGAACAAGAAGCTTCTAGGGGCTCCTGGCATCGCTACTAGGAGCAAGGATGCTGCTAGGGGTTCCTGGCCTTACTACTAGGAACAAGAAGCTTCTAGGGGCTCCTGGCATCGCTACTAGGAGCAAGGATGCTGCTAGGGGTTCCTGGCCTTACTACTAGGAACAAGAAGCTTCTAGGGGCTCCTGGCA